GGATCAATGGCAACTCATAAAATATTTTATTTTAAATCAAAATCATTTATTTATTCATTTTAATTTTTTCGCCAAGTAAAAATTCGTACCAAGGCAAAAAATCGGAAAGAAAAGAAGAAGAAAGGAACCTAGCAACTTCCATTAGAACAAGAAGAGGAAATGCTGATGAAGGAAGAGGCGAGTACAGAAGAAACAAGTACCCAACTGCAGTGGCTCTGGATAAGCCCGTAAAACAAGTCATCCTATTCATTTATATTTTTGCGATCATGGTTTATTACAACTGAACCGACCCACAAAACTGAACTGACTTAAAAGACGAAGAAGAAGAAGCTTCCAACCGAAGTGGGAATGGTGGCTTTGCCTCTGATACAAAAAGATTGAGTCTTGCCCAAAGCAGGGAATTTCCCAAAATCTGTAGCCTTGGAACATGAATCCAGAAGCAGCAAAATTGTCCAAGACTTTAAGTTCAATCTATAGAGATCATAAAACAACGGGAAAGGAAATGTAAAAGTAAAAAGTAGGAAGGAACCTGGCAACTTCCATTAGAACAATAGGAGGGAATGTTGATGAAGGAAGAGGTGAGTAACAGAATAAACAAGTTCCCAACTGCAGTGGCTCTGGATAAGTCATCCTATTTATTTGTATTTTTAGCGACCATGATTTATTATAACCCAACAAATCGATCAAAATTTCTAATCTTATTCTTACTAAAAACTATAAGAATGTTGGACTCAATTTTCTAATTTAAAAACAATTACTTTAATGAATTAGTGAAAGTCCAAACTTAAGATTTGAGGGAAGTTGAAAGCTGCAGCCTAAATGGCAGAGTTAGTTGAAGATGTAGATGGATGGGTTCGGACTTTGCGACGAGGCATTAGGCAGTTGAAAACATGGGTTTATGCTACAGATAGTAGTGCCTAAACTTTTTTTAAGTGGAAACAATTGTGTATTTCTTCAAGTAATTTAAATGCCAACTTGAAAAAGGTAGCTTTGCTTTAGTTGGTAGGAAATGGTTACTCGTTTATTGTGGTTTTTAAGAAGCTCAAATACGTGTATCATCCTTCCACAGTAAGCCTAATCACATCGTCTTCTTATTAATGTATAGGTTTCGTAAGTCATTCTTTGTTTAACTTTTTTATTTTGGCACATCTTCCAGAAGAGTGCACTTTCCTGGTTTAGATGTTTGTTTACCTAGAAAATTTTCGGACTGCACAATATTATAAAAAATTAGACCGTAAATTAATTGATTACTTGCATTTGATCCGTGCATCTGATTGACTCATACGTGGAATTTCAATTGGAATCAACAATTATATAAAATTAGTTCTATTAGCTCATGAAAGTGGAAATTGGTATATTTTGAGGGCTAAAATAGAAAACAGAAAATGAATATATTGGGTGCAAAGTGAAACACTGATGTGCTTGAAAGGCTAATTTGTAAATTAAACCTTTATATATGTTTTCACCCACAAGGACAAATGGTGCGAGTTTTAAGACATTAATTTTAGCGCTAAAATCTCTAATTAGCCCAAGTCATTTAAGCCCAAGCAGAAGCTCAAAACGATAGTCATTGAAAAGCTAATCAGATTTGAAACTCAGTGAGCCCAATCAGCTTCATCGCGGCTTAACTCGCAGTAATCCGAACCTCCGTGTCGCCGCAATTTCATCGAGTGTCGGGAGTCGTTTCGAAACCATGTCACCGGCATCTTCTTCACCTCGTTTCCTCATTTATCGGGAAGACACAAATCCTATTAATTTATCGAAGAACAACAATCCGGTGAACCAATGGTAAAAACTAGACAACAAAAAGCCAAACCCAAACCCCAAGTAAGTTTTACTTCGTTTTCTGTTTATTTATATGATATTTGACTCCTTTTCTTTCCTGCTTTCTAAATTCAGTTTATAGTATAGCTTTGTATCTATGAAGTTCAACTTTGTTATTGAAATCAAGATTTTGATGGATCAATTGGAAATATGATGAATAATGCACTTGATTTTTGCTTCTGGATATCAAATGTGTAATACAAGGGGACTCATACGACAATGAAATCAACATTTTTATAGCACTTTTTGTGTGCTTTAAATAGGTTTGGGTTGTGCAATTTGTGAATGCTACTGATATAAACAGCAGCCAAATAACTGAATGATAGTTCAGTTTATGCTTTTCGTGGTTGATTGTTTCATCCTCGTAAATTACTCAACAAAATTTGTTTGGTGGATGGGTAAAAAAGCAGGGAAAGCAGGCAGATTACTCGCAGTTTCTTTCCCAGCTTGATGCGATTGCCTAAAAATCATCAAAGTTACTGCAGATGGTAATTGTTTTTTCAGGTTTGTATCTTTTAATTCGATTTTTTTGCCCCCTATTCTTTTCTGAATACTTTTATAATATATTTTGTAGCATTCATGCCATTTACGTTCTTTATATCTGATTTTTGGTACATCATTGTCATTATAAAGGTGTGCATTTTTGTTGGTTTTGTTGAAGTTGCTCACTCGTGTTAGCTGTCAGGGCCCTTGCTGATCAGTTGGAAGGTGACGAAGAGCAACATGAAAGCTTGCTTATTTTTTCCATTATAGCTTTCTAAGAATCTCTGAGTCTCTTTTCAGACGTTTGCATTGGATACTAGAAATGTGTTAGCCATCTGTAAGTAGAAATGTGTTAACCATCTGTAAGTACTGTTATTTATTTTTGTTTAGTTTAATGTTATTAGTTCCTGTACCTAGGAGTATTCCATATGCGTTATTATCAATGATTAGAACTGATTGGTACAAGCACAATAGCCTCTTGAAATTGCAAGATAAGGATATGAACTTTTAATCTGAGTTACTATTAGCTACACTTAATTCATGTGCAGAAACAAGAAAAAGAAATCAGGTTAGTTAGATTCTTTTCCCCTCAAAAGGCTTGATGCAAACTAATTTCACAATTTTTTTTTCATTGTTGAATAATATATTTTTCTATCAGTTAACTCTAGTGGTCACATGCAAATCCCTCATGTGTGAAATAATTGAAATGTTGAAACAAATGTTGAAATATGTATATATTTATATATATTATAGTAAATCAGACGTTTGCTGTTCCCTTTACGCAGATGATATTTAAAAAAATTTGTTTCTCGTTTGGATGGTTGGATGACTTATGATATGTTGCTCGTTTTCTCTCTTTCCCCTCCATTCCTCTTCCATCTTTTCTTCTTATTGAAGGTTCTAAGTTGTAGGTAATCCAAACTTTTATCTGATATTGACAGAAAAAGCGTGAAATGTTTGAACCCTTTATCGAGGATGATGTCTCATTTGATGAATAATGTCAATCCATGGGAAAGGATGGCACATGGGCTGGACATATGGAACTGCAGGCAGCTTCTCTTGTTACTCGCAGAAATATATGCATACACCAGGTAAGATCCTATCTTTTCCTCCCTCTATGGTTAGCTTTGGACATCATGGAAGTCATCCCTCACGCTTTGCATGGTATACAGAACATGTCACCATGCTGGTACATAAAGAATTTTGATGACAGAGCAACTCGCATGATCCATTTGTAAGTGTTACAGTGCTCCTTTATTGAAAGCACTGCTCATTTCTTTCACATTCTTTGATTGCTGTCTATAGTATCTAATTCTGCTGTACGAAATACAAATGTTTTTCAGATCACACCATGACGAGGAACACTACAATAGTGTAAGATCACCCCTGTAATGGGCCAGCAATTCCAATTGTAATTAAGATTTGATTTTATTTTAGAATTTTTCACTGTGCTGGTTCTTGAAGTTATTCTGATTTTAAGTTTGAACGTCATTATGGGTAACTATAGTCTACTAACTACTAGTTTGTCAAAAGGTGGATGCTGATATCTCAGCATCATCTAATCAAGCAAAAACTGCAGTTACTAAGACAAAGGGGGCAGCTGGTAAGGACAGTATCAATGCGGGATCAATCGAATTAGTAATGGCTGGAAGTGGCTGTGAAAGTGCTGATAAAGTTGAACAGGTGATGAATTAGCATATATATATATATATATATACACGGTGTCTTTGTTCCTGTGTAGCTGTCATTTCTAAGTTACGGCCTCAAGTCCCTTTTTTGCATGCTCAAGAATCATGGCATGCTTGAATCTCCTCCATTACGCGAACTTTACTTGTACTCTTCTTCAGGTTTTACTACAGGTGGATGGTGATGTTGATGCAGCTATCGAATTTTTGATAGCAGAACAAGGGGGTGAAGAAGGTGCAGCTGCGGATGATTCACATTCTTGTCATGCAAATGTTTCTTATGGTAATGGCCGGTCAGTACACAGGCTAATTCTAGATTTTTGTTAGGGTTCTCACTACTTTACTTTTTCATTTTATTCTTTATAATGAAAATGTCCACTTTGTTTTTATAACATCTTATGTAGGTATTTTATTTACTAAGACAGCTGTTGATGAGATTAGAAAGATCATTACAAGATGAAATATGAAAATCCTATTCATGCGGGGACACAATTTTCTCCGTTGGGCCTATTCAAGACCATCCTAGCTTTATTGGATTTATGAATCTGTCTCCTGTGAAGATTTTCGGAGTTGATTGGGAAATATATGTTTTTACTTCAAATGGAACTGCACTAACTGGTAGAAATTCATGTTGAAGTCGCTTTGCCTTTAGTTTCTTAGTGATTCAAAACAGTAGATAGATCTTCTTTATTACCACTGAAATCTGATTCATTTTTACTTCATACCTGCTTGACATTTGGGGAGGTTTCACTTTGCTTTTTCTTTCTGTGATGTTTAAAGAGATTATGATTTGACATATGTGATGTTCTTATCTATTCTTAAATATGGTATCCAGGTAATGATGAAAACAGAAACAATGAACAACATAAGGAAGAAACTGTCTAGAAGACCACGGAACAGGGTCCATCTAGTGATGGCTCTAAACCCTTGATGGTAGCACTTCTCAACCGGATGAAAAGGTTTAATGATGTGATGAAAATAATATCTTAAAAAATTATATGTATGGTTTGAAAGTAAGATTATCACTCTTTTTCCTTCTTTAACTTTCCGAACTGCAAAAGATTCCAAGAAACAAGTTATGCCCATGTGGATCAAAGAAAAAATACAAGGCTTGTTGTGGATCTGTATCAGGGAGGTCCTTGAATAAACTTATAGTGTATACCACCTAATCTCTAGTTTGCTTTTGGGTCGATTTATGCTATATAAGCTAAATGCAATACGTATTGGCTATATTACTTCAACTAAGCACTGGAACGGTACTGGACATTCTTTTGTAGCACATGATATCGGAGCTTGAGTATCTCTCCCTCTGTGTGCTTAGTTTAGATGCTTTTCTTGCATGTCAAGTTTCTAAGCACTTATTTTTCTGAACCTTTTTCTGTGTAGTAACCAAACAACGGAGGTCAGAAAGGGTAAAAAGGAGCGGAAACAAGGCAAGAAAGGAGTATCTGCGAAATCTGCAGCATCTCCTAGATCTGATGGAGGGCCACCTGACATGGGAGCACTTTGCATATGAGCTTAGTATCATGTGAGTGCTTTTGCCACAATTATCATCCTCAACGACTTTCGTGCCTGGTTGCATATATTTCTTCATTCTAATCTTTCAACGAGAATTTATTCTCATTTTAAACGAGGAAGAAACAGCACATTTGGCAGAAAAGTTTGATCCATTTTACATAAGTACATCCTGCTGATTATTTATTTTCTTTGCTTTGTAGATCTAATACATGCCATGGGTAGGATCTTATCCTTACATGCTCTTCCAATTTGCTTCCAACTGTCCGACTACGACATATGCTGGCAGTCTCTGGAAAATGAATATGAGTTCTCAATGCCCTCTATGTTCCCGGGATTCCTTATCCAGCCAATTGTTATGCAGGCAGGATTGACAGTTTCTGCTATCCACTCCTAACTTTATTTTTGAGATTCCTTGTAAATGGTATCTTTGGCAAAACATGAGATTATACAAACATAGAATGATGATGAAGAAAAGGGAAGTACTAGAAATGGTATAGGTTCTTGTTTTAAAGATGCTACCCTACATTGTTTTAACATTCGGCCTAACTTTTAAGTATACGAGGCAGAATGTCTGATAACGCATAGAATATATTTTAGGGTTCAGAACTGTGTTGTGTGTATACAGATGGAAGAATGTGTTATTCCTTTGTACAAGTGGCAACTTGCTTTATCATTTGGGCCTTTCATGGCTTCAAGGAAACTGGTTCATGGAAGACAAAGCTAATTTAAAGTCAAAATGCTCGATTTGGCATTTGATAAATAAATACTATAATCAAATGGTTGGCAAGGACAAACTTCGGTTTGATCATAAAGATTCTTCCTTTAAGGAAAAGCTTCATTCCAAATTTCGTAATATACAAATGATGCTTTTAGGTAACAAACAATACAATCCCTAAATTATTTATAATCATCTAAAAAATATATCAAAAATAATTCCGTAAAGTCTTAATCAGAATAAATTTTATATTTTGAATGATTTCGGTAGTAAAAGAAAATATTAGTCTCCTTAAAAGATATAGATTCGAACAATTATGTATGTATTTGTATATATTATTGATGGTTGGAAAAATTCTAAATAAATAATATCTTATAATCACATTGAATATTTAAAAAATATTTAACCATATCAATTTCAAAACATGACAGACCGACTAATGTGATTCGATTAGGATTCCCAAGGTTTCTATTGTGCATGGTGAGCTGCTTTTATAGTGAAAACTGAGAGCCACCCATTTGGAGATTGAAAAGCAAAGTCTTTTCTTTCTTAACACGGGAACTCGTATAAACCTTTCTTTGTCCCCAAATTGTAAATTGTTGTTTTCCGCATGCTAATTATACGGCCTAGATATATAATACATATATTAAAATTATTTAAGACTAAGTTTTAATGTATTAAAATTTAATAAATAAATTTTATAAAATTAATATAATTACAATACTCATGAAAATTTTTGAATGATAACAAACATGAAATTATAGAACTTTTACCAATATACTCCATAGATATTGACTACTATAAATATCTTTCTTTTCTTTTTTTGCTAATACATAAATGACGAAAAGAGAAACCAGTAGATGTTTTTGCAGAATAGCCTGCATCTCCCTTGGAGGCTCCAGAAACTCAACAACTCCAATAGCTTCACCACGACTTTTGCTAGAAAGTCTGCAACACCGTTTTCTTCCATGCTGTAGACATTTATTTTTGTTCGAGGTCTTTATTACATTGTATAGCATATATGATATTATATAATAATTTCAAAATATATAATATATATAAATTTTGAAAATATATAGTATAGTTTTTGAAAACACGAATTTAAAAACGTATAATATATAGTTTTCTTAAAAATTGTTTTTTTTAACATATATATATATAATATAGTCTTTGAAAACGTATTTTAAAAACATATAATATATAGTTTTTTAAAACGGTTTTTGAAAATATATAACATATAGTTTTTTAAAAAAATGGTTTTTGGAAAACATATATAATATAGTTTTTATAAACATATTTTTATATAATTTTGAAAATATATAATATATATAGTTTTTGAAAAACATATGTAATATATATATATATATATTTGAAAACATATTATATGATTTCGAAAATATAATATATTATATAGTTTTTTAAGCTTATTATTATTATTATTATTTTTTTGGTTTTCCAGTTCAAGTCCAAACGGTCCAGCAAGGGAGTTCAACCGAGTCATGCTAGCCTCGCCCAACAAAGCAGGCCCGGTTAGAAGGCCTGGCCCAGCTCAAATCGAATTAGGGTTTCCACACATAAGCAAAAGGGCACGCATAAGAGGAAGCAAGCAGCACGCGTGAAGGACACGCATCAGTAACCGGCCGAGATTCCCGGCCAAGCAACCCGAGACTGCACCATCCTGGGATTTCTAGCCACACGAACGATGGTTAGTCTGAATAAATTAGAGACGAGGGAAATAACCCCGTCAAAGTCGGCAACAACCCCATCAGGGGGCTATATAAATACCACGCCTAACACAACAACAAACACATAGAGCAAGCCAAGGAATCCGAGCAAAATAGAGAGGAAAAACTGAAGAAAAATAACAATAATCACAAAGAAAAGCAAAACATTATCATCAGAACTACAAACTACTGAAAATAAACTATATTTGGCCAAAACCGAAAACAACCAAGCCAAACATTCACACAAGCATAAAGGCAAACGCATCGTTGGTCTTGGCTCGGGAAGGAAACGACTGTCAGAAGTCAAAAGGGCTCGCCGGAAAACGATAAAAATTGAAACCTTAGAACTTAGATCTACGTCGATTCAGTCTTATTTTGGGCAGTCGAGCTTTGGTTTTGTGTTCAAGGGGTTGGGAGGAACATTTGTGTGGAATTTGGGTTTTTCTGGCCACCGGTGCAGCGGCCGAGCGGCGAAGTGGATCATCGGAGAGTGACTGGCTCTAGGCCGATTGGGTTTTAGTTGAGAGTGTTTTGGGGAGGTTTTTTTTTGTAAGATGATATAAAATGAATATTTTTGTGATTTTAAGGGTATTTATAGGGGGACTAGGTTACAATTATGAAATAGTTTAATTATTTATGCAGTCCCTGATCGTTTGATGTGTAATTCATTTTGGTCATATGTTATAAATTTTCCTTGAATTTTGAATTTATTCAATTTAATCCCTGTTCAATTTTTTTATATTTTTGCAAATTAACCCTTCCTAACTTTTTATTTTTCTTAGTGCTTTCAAATAATATCAATTTGATCCTCAATTTTAAATTTGTTGCATTGAAATCCTTTTAATTTAAAGTTTTATTTTACTTTATATTTCTTAATTTAATTTTGTCTTACTTTAATATTTAAAACTAATTTGATTTATATTTTTCAGGTCAATTTCAAATCCTTCAATGGTAAGTAGTTCGGATCAAACTTTTAAATTTTAATTTAACTATTAATTTTCACAATTAAGACAACCGAAAAATTAAATTGGTACCGAAAGGGTAGTACAAGGGTGATAATCCTTCCTTGGCGGTAATCGACTCCTGAATCCAACAAATTTTTGGTAAAAAGCATATTAGGTAAGATGATAAATTAAGGTGTCTGGTCAACCTAATTTTAAAAATAAATGATCAGTAGTGGCTCTAACATGTTTTATTTAAGTCAAACCCCGATTTTGAGCCCACCCGATGGATAGTTACAACAACTTGGCACTCTGCTGGGTACAGGTAAGTGGGTTAGGCCAAAATTAATTTTCGGTTATCTTCTTAAGTAAAAATTGTGAGTTTAAATTTTAATTTATCTATTTGATCCTTAATATTTATTTTTGATTATTTTTTTCAAATAAATAATTGTACTGATGTTTTTAATGATTTCAACTTTTCAAAATTTCTTTCAGGCTCTATACCCGAGCTTCAAACCTTTTCGTAAGTGGAGGTGAAAACGACGCATTCGTGGGAATTTATTCTCCGTACATGCCTAGCAAGTAACCTTCGGGATGCATATACCTTATGTCTTCGTGTGAATTTATTCTTCGTACAGACATAAGGGAATGTGTCCTCTCGAGTTTAACTTGGTATATATAAGCTTGTAATGGGTTTAGGATTGAGGGTCTGGCAAGGTCAATGGGGCACCAACAAGGAGAACTCGGGTACCTTTTTTTAGAATCTAAACCAGGAGACTACAAGGAGTTAGAACTCACCCCGAAACTCCATTTTAAAACCTAAGATGCTTGAGTTATTTCATGTTCTATTTTCTGTTCAAGGCATGCGAACTAGAAATATATGCGGTTAAGACTTGCTCAAAAATTAACATGCGGGATAGAAATCATGTCCGGGTAAGAATAAAAACATGTAGGGTAGATATCATATGGGGTAGGAATTTTTATTTTCATTTTTATTATTATTATCATCTTACTAACTTGTTTCCTTCTTATTTGTTGTTTTCTTTTATTTTTTTTCTCCATTTACATCATTTAAAGAGGTGTTGATCCATAAAAAGTGTTCGTTAAACACAAATAATCAATATTAATGGACAAAGGGGTTGTAATGCAAGAGGTGAAAATGAAGAGGTTCGGTTATGGTCAGACAAGACTCGGAAAAAAAGGGAGACAGTCTGCAATGTAACTATGTGTCAGATCTGGTTGGTTATGCTTCTATCAGCCTTAAACAGAGCGATGTTCAAGAATTGTAGAGCATTTGGGACAGCTGAAAAAGCGACCAGAAACAAAGATTTTGTCAGTGGTATGGTGATATCACGCTTCTACTCTATGTAAAGATAGATGAGCCCCTAATTCGAGCCTTAGTACAATTTTGGAATCTTAGGTACAGTTGTTTTACATTCAATCAATAAGACATGGTGCCCATAATTAAAGAATATACCACTTTACTACATTATAAAGGAATCATAATTGATCGGTTCTACACCAAGTATATCCAAAGTCATCCTTTCAAGAATGGGTTGGCAAAGGTTACAGGGTAGATGAAAAGTGGGTAACTGACTGGATTTAACACAAAGGTAAATGAGAAAGAATTACTTGAACCCATATCTAGCAATTAATGAAGAATCATCCAGATGAATGGAAGGTGATTGTCCTTTTGCACTAGGTCTCTACGGCTTGGTTATCCTCCCAAAAACTTTGGGATACATCGAGACGGCTGTGGTGGAATTGTTCGAACAACTACCTAAAAGAGTGAAACTTGTGCCAGTAATATTAGCTGAAAATTTTCGTTCACTAAACCATTGCAGAAAAACTGAGGGAAGAAGATTTATAGGGTGCATACATCTTATTTAGGTCTGAATCCATAGTCACTTCTGAAAGACTGATGAGATTTCTTATCGTCGATTCAGTACCTCTTACTCTCTTTTAGAGGAATTCCTTACACTAAAGTGGCAATAAGACATCCCGAAAGAAAAATGGGTAAAGGTATTCACGCACCTTCAAAATAAGGACATTGTTTGGAGAGCCCATTGGTTAACTCATATTGACATCCTTTATCGATATGGAGACTTAGGAATCATAATATTACTTGGATTATGGGGAGGAGTCAGATATTCTCCGCTTTTGGCACTTCGACAGTATGGGGCAC